GCTGGGGGGTGAGGGGAGGTCTTGTGGTGGGAGGAGGGTCTTGTGGGAGGTGTGGGAGGGAGGTGTTGGTGTGAGGGGAGGTCTTGGTGGTGGTGTGAGGGAGGTCTGTGGGGGGTGAGGGAGGTGTTGGTGGGGGTGAGGGGAGGCGGGTGGAGGGAGGTGTTGTGTGGTGGGGTGAGGAGGTCTTGGTGGTGGTGTGAGGAGGTGTTGGTGGTGGTGGGAGGGAGGTCTGGTGGTGTTGTGGGAGGGAGGTGTTGGTGGTGGTGTGAGGGAGGTGTTGGTGGTGGTGTGAGGGAGGTGTTGGTGGTGGGGTGAGGGAGGTGTTTGTGGTGGGTGAGGGAGGTGTTGGTGGTGGGTGAGGGGAGGTTTGGTGGGGTGAGGAGGTAGTGGTGGGGTGAGGGAGGTCTTGGTGGTGGAGGGAGGTGTTATGTGGTGGTGTGAGGAGGTTGGTGGTGAGGGAGGTGTTGGTGGTGGGTGAGGGAGGTGTTGGTGGTGGAGGGAGGTGTTGGTGGTGGTGTGAGGGAGGGTGGGGGTGGAGGAGGTGTTGGTGGTGGTGTGGAGGGAGGTGTTGGGGTGAGGGAGGTTGGTGGTGGTGAGGGATAAAGCAGGGTGTGTGAGGGAGGTTGGTGGTGTGGAGGGAGGTGTTGGTGGTGGTGTGAGGGAGGACTGGTGGTGGTGTGGAGGGAGGTGTTGGTGGTGGTGTGTGAGGGGAGGTGTTGGTGGTGGTGTGAGGGAGGTCTTGGTGGTGTTGTGGGGAGGGAGGTGCAGGGTGGGTGTGGAGGAGGGGGGTGTTGGTGGTGTTGTGGAGGGAGGGCAGGGTGGTGTGAGGGAGGTGTTGGTGGTGGTGGTGGAGGGAGGTGTTGGTGGTAGAGGAGGTGTTGGGGGGTAGGGAGGTGTTGGTGGGGGAGGAGGTGTTGGTGTGGAGGGAGGTGTTGGTGTGAAGGAGGTGTTGATGGTGGTGTGAGGGAGGTGTTAGTGGTGGTGTGAGGGAGGTCTTGGTGGTGGGGTGAGGGAGGTCTTGGGTGTTGGTGTGGGTGTTGGTGTGAGGGAGGTGTTAGTGGTGGTGTGAGGGAGGTCTTGGTGGTGGTGTGAGGGAGGTCTTGGTGGTGGGGTGAGGGAGGTGTTGGTGTGAAGGAAGTGTGATGCAAACGTGACTGCGCCCGCTCTTGGGCCACTTACGTTCGCTACGTCCCATTATTTGAAGTTTTTTTTTTTCAATTTCAATTTCAATTGTTTATTCCTTGATAGAGGAAGCAGGAACCTAGTGCTATCACTAAGTACCCCTGTATCATGACACCAGAAGCAACTGGCAAGTGTCACAAGCATATACAGTACAGTACAGTCATGCTTTGGTTATCACGCCCAATTGGGACCCCGCCGAGCGCATGATAATGAAAAACGCGATAATGAAAGTACAGAACCTATGGGATTTATTCTAATTGGTTCCAGGCACCCAAGACCCAACCCTAAGTTTCCAATTTTACGACCATTTAGACCCGCTAAATATATATATAATGTTATGATAAATATCATAGACACACATAGGCATGGCTAGGTTTATTACAAAGTGATGAAAAGGGTACGTTCAATACTGTAGTCCACAAAACATGTAGCTATGTCTTTCTTTATTTGAGTCCCCCATCATACGAGTCCGTTTTCTCTCGCTTCAAGACGCCGGAGTCCTTTGTTTTCTCTCAATCTTTGAATGTATCAGAGACTTCGTTATTCCTTAGTAATGACACAGAATTTGAAATTGCAACCCCAATTGCAACTAGGGTTGCAATTGTTGAGGCAACTAGATATGTTTGATTACAGCAAATGTGTTATTGTCAATTTGTAGGTGAAAGATTTTATCCTCAATAGATGTAGGCCAATGCTTGATAACCAAATTCTCGGCCTGAAAAATGCGCTATAACGGCAAGTGTGCAGATTTTGATGGAGGCGTGATGACGAAAATCGCAATAACCAAGGGATGACGTTGTTCGGTTGGACGTTAACCGGCGCATGACTGTATATCAATCAGCTTATTCTGATAATGTTATTTAACACCTGTACAGTCCTCTTTACTAGTGCATTTACAGGGGCTTGTCATATAAACATTCCACAAATCATTACAGTATCTTTGAAATATTTGCTTTATTATTGTTTTAATTTTATTTCATAGTATGTTAACTATTCTGAGTTTCCTTCTGTCGAATGTAAACAAACTTAGGGCTGTCACACTACACAAAACCTGATGAGCCCCTGTGAACGTACGAGTGAAAAGGACTGTACAACAAAGTTCCACTTCACAAGTGACGTGTATTCTTGAAAAAGCGTTCATTGGGGAAATTCTCACTAAACAGGATCCTTTTCTCCATAGCATCCCATAAAATGAGCAGAGATGCATTCCAGCCCCAAAAATTTGACCTTAAAACTCATGTTGTAAGCTGAGACACTCTTCAGTCCATAGAATGCCAACCCCACAACCTAATTTAACACTGGTGTGACAATGGAATCTGTCTCCAGTCTTTAGTCCCAAGAGCTCTAAATTTATGCTGCTTGTGGTTGTCCTGGCAGTGTTGGTACACACAACATCAGTGCACATGACAGGCTCCCACTTCACCCCCCCCCCCTGATGAAACATGACCACTGCCACCCACCAACTTCACTGTCTCTCATCTCTTGCATAAATTTTAATTGGCAGCTATGGATTTCCTACTCTTCCATCCCTATATGTACAGAAATGGGATGCAAATGAACAAGAAACCTTCACAGATTAATGGCCCTCATCCCTACAATTAAATTCCACTGATAATGGCCGCTGTTTCAGCAGTAAGACATTTTTACAGTAAACATTGTTATGCTTAGGTATTCTTTAATACTTTACATTTGAGTAATGTTTTATTTGATCTACTGTACTGTTGTAGTAGTGCAAATAAAACATGAGGTAAATTAAAAAAAAAATAAATCTCTCACACTCACTAACACTACCACTTCTCATCACATACAGATGCTGCAGGTTCAGGCACACTTATGTAAAGACATAATTACAGTAAACATGATTTTGCTCGGGTAATCTTTAACATTGTAGTTAAATACCTAGCAGTGATTAGCGCAAACACAGAAGTTTGTGGGTTAAATGTATGTACAGTCGAGCAAAAATTTGTCCCAAACCAACCTGCATGACATGAGGCAGGTGATATGGTAACCTCATACAGTATTACCACTGACCGGAGATTGTCTAAGAACATATTTCTTGTATATGGTATACAATAACTTAATTAGTATCAATGTATAAAATGTGGGAAAATAGTGAATTGAGAAATTTATGACATTGCTGCAGAATGATTCATAAACTGAGGATCCAGACGTCTATGATTATTCATACTGCTGATGTCAATGAGTATTTTTCATGCTGACTGACTGCTCCATTTTAAAGCGTTTCCGCAGTTGCCCATCATTCCGGCCATACATCCTTTATAAGAGGCACAGGTTTGGGTTCAAGATCTTTGTACAGTGTGACTGCGAAACTGGTAAACAACAATATTGAAAATGATTGTATTTAATGGTAGGGACACACACACACATTGTTCAAAACAACACACTTGGCATTACTGGTGCTGTGGACAAGGAATTCATGGAGTCATACCTTGACCACAGTCACATACCATACACAGACAATTAGTACACCTCTCCCTCCCTCTCCAAGTACCTGTTCAACCATGATACAGGCTCCTGTTGACATAATGTGTGCCAACAGGAAACATATTCCAAGCCTACAGTATGTGCTTTGTGGCATGTGTAAAGCCATTCATGTCAATTGCACCCTGGCTATTAAAATGGCATATCAAACATGATGTGCACATGTTGTCAGCAGTACATGGAGGAAATAGCATCAACTCTTGCAAAGTCGACCTCAGGCCGACGATGGAGATCAAGAAACCAATTGCTGTCACCTACTACAGCATCAACATGCAATCACCAAGTGACATGTACCTGATGGATGTCACACTCTACAACGCCTGCAAACTGCACCTAGAACGATCTGCAAGAAACTATCACTACCAGATTTCAACTGCAGTGTGGTGAGGCAGCTGTTGGGGAACTTTGACTTCACAGGTTCTATACCTGCTGGCAGAAGTGAGCACTTCTTGTGCAACCTTCCAATTTATGAAATGTCTAAGAGGCCCAGAATAGCTTGCCACTTTTGTCAGTACACAAAGTTATGACCTCAGAAATACCAGGATACATACTACTACTACTGCCTGGACTGTAATGTGATCCTCTGCCTTGAAAAACATCCCACCAAGATGGAATATTAGTTCATGTTATTGGAAGTGCCTCATAACTTATCTCCATTGTAAGTAAACAGCATTTATTGTTAAAAACAGTTTTGTTTAATATTGTTTTTGAAGCATAACTTTAATATCTCAACTATAATGTAAGATACACTCTTTTCTCCCCTACATGCAATCAATATTTCCTTTTCTATAAGATAATAAGATTCAAACATTTTTATGATGTTTTTTCGTCAAATTTTATATTTCCCCAGCCAGCAGTTATGACTGGAATTTGCAAGCACCTTCCTCAAAGAGTTGAGTGAATTAATAATAAAAGGACCAAGTGTGAATGAAGAGAATAACTGACAACTAACAAGTGCCTTAATGAGGATGAGCAAAGTCTTCCGCTCATAATTTTGCTTCTTAAACTGAATATAAGTTCATTAATTGAATCTTCATCCTCTAAGTCTAAAACACAAAGTTCATTCAACCAGCAGGAACTGATTGTATATTCTTTCTCAAATATTTATTGAAAACTTTAAAAACAAACATCCTTTCCACTCCTACATACTTGTGTACAGTTAAGTAAGCCAGGGCTCTTGATGTGACACAGTGACAAACTCTGAGCTTACCTTAACTCAACACAATCGATGAACTCAATCTCTGTCAAGGGTTATGAGTGTACAGTAAAACATCACCAACTTAAACTTCAAAGGAAATACAGTGAAGATAACTTACGTATTGAAGCATCAGACATTATGACCATACAGTATGTATTGGAGGTGAAGATATCAATGAAGGCGGCAAAGTTGGAGTTACGCACTTCCATGCTTTGGAAGTGTGCTGCTAACTTGCTGCAAGACAAAATATAATAGATTACTAATATCCAAAGTGAAATAAATAAAAAATTGACAAAGAGAAGTAATATTACCAGTAAAAGTTATGGTCAAGAGTTACTTATGTTAGAAGCAATTACAGTACGCCTGGATAATTCACGGATTTTGATTTCACGGGCCTCAATTATTCGTGGATGACACCCTGGAAGTACCCAAAAATGTCTAAGGGTAGTTTTAAAGTTGTTGGCATTCTCGTGGCCGGGACAGGGAGCCATTCGTCCTACAGACAATAATTTCCTTTACCTGTAGTGTATATACCCTGTATGTGTTAGTGTGTGTATGTGTAGAAACACACACAAAACAAACGCAAATAAATAATAATGGGAAAATCCTCTAACAAATAATCAGAAACATTTATTAAAAATGTTAAGTCTACTCTCAAGTCCACTCCGTGCTTTGTTATTAATAAAGCACGGAGTGGACTTGAGGGTAGACTCACACATTTTTTTTTAATAATTTTTTTCTGATTATTTGTTAGAGGATTTTCCCATTATTATTTATTTTTATGTGTTTTGTGTGTGTGTGTCTACTACTACAACTACTACAGTGGTCCCTCGGTTAACGAATGGTTCGGTTAACGAATTACCTTCCATAAGAAACTTCAATTCGATTAACGAACAAAAATTTGATAACGAAATCCTTTACGAACATCACGTTTTGTTGTGAGCATCAGTTGATCAGCTGATGGGCTAGTCTGCCAATTCAGTACAGCTAGACCCCGACTTACGACGGGGTTAGGGACCCAAATCCAGGTCGCAAGTCCGACATGGTCGTAAGTTCGACATAGATAAAAAAAAAATTTCAAAAAAATTAAAAAAAAATAAAAATTCAAATTTAAAAAAAAAAATTTAAAAATCTACAATGAAATACAGTACACTAAACGTAATAAATAATGAGGAATGGATACAGTACAGTAAAAGTAATAAATAATGAGGACTGGATACAGTGTGACTGAGCCCTTACCTTAAATGTAGTCAGCTGAACGCACACAGGGCCCCCATAATTTTCTATTTACAGGATACATGGAGACTATATTATTTGAAAGAAGCAGAAGAGGAGACAGGGCTAGGTGGGTCATCAATGTCGCTTTCTTCAGACAGGTTTATGTGCTGTGGAAACTTGCTGGTTGAAGGTATTGGTTCATCTTGAGGGAGTGAAGAGGCAGCACTGGTGGGGCATGAGGAGACAGCACTGGGGGACTTCTTAAAATTGATGTCCAATTTAGCCTGCAAATTTTTTTTTCTTTTTCATTATAAATTTCTCTGTAGCAAGCAATCTTGGACCATTCTGTCAACTTTGGCATAACGCTCATAATTTTGATCCATGGCATCAAACATTTGCATTCCTTTATTAATTGTAGCAAATGTCTCTGCCATATGTTTCACTGAAAACTTTTTGGGGGGTGCAGGTTCTTCTTCTACCTTTTGTCTCTCGTCTTCCTCTGCAATTTTCTGTGCATCAAGTTTAATAAGATCCTCGTTACTGAGCTCTTCTGCTACACTTTCAACCAACTGTCCAACATCTTCATTATCAATTTCTAACTCCAGCTGTTTACCTAACTCCACTATCTTGTTACTAATATTCGAAATAACTTCATTTTCATTAAATCCCTTGAAACTGTTCACATATCTTTTCAGGATTTTCTTCCATATTCCATTCATGCAATGTTATGTAACCTGATCCCATGCTGCACTAATGTTCTTTATACATGACAAAATGTTGTACTCCTTCCAAAACTGTCTGAGCGTTTTCTCACCTTCAGTAGCAGCAACAGCCTGAGCGAAGGTCGTGCGTAAATAATAGGCTTTAAAGGCAGCAATAGCGCCTTGATCCATGGGTTGGATGATAGAGGTAGTGTTAGGTGGAATGTACACTACCTTAACATCAGGGTGCATGTCGTCCAGGTGTGGTGGGTGTCCCGGAGCATTATCCAAAATCAGTAAAATCTTGAATGGAATCTGTTGTTGCAGACAATACTCCTTGGCTAGTGGAATGAAATAAGTCATGAACCAATCCTCAAACAGTACTAGGGTCATCCAGGCTTTCTCGTTACTGCGATAAAACACTGGCAGCGTGTGCTTGCTGACATGTTTAAAAGCCCTGGGGTTCTCTGAATGATAGATCATGAAGGGCTTTAGCTTGAAACCAGCAACATTCCCCCCCAACAGAAGTGAAATTCTGTCCTTGAATGCCTTGAATGCGGGCATTGTTTTCGCCTCTTTGTGGATGTATGTCCGCTCAGGCATGCACTTCCACAATAATCCAGTCTCATCCACATTGAATATTTGCTCAGGCAAATAATCCCCTTCCACAATCACATCATCTAACTCCTTCTTAAAAGCTTCGGCAGCACCAACATCAGCACTAGCTGCTTCTCCACTCACCTTAACATTGTGTAGACTGTAGCGTTTTTTAAATCTATCAAACCACCCATGACTTCCTGTAAAGGTTTGATCACATTTATCTCCTGCCTGCTCGTTCAAGCTTTGGAATAGGCTTCTTGCTTTAGCCTGTATGGTTAGAACGCTTAAGGGTACACGCTTCTGTATCTGGTCTTCTATCCATATCACCAATAATTTTTCCATATCGTGAATAGGACCTTGTCTTCTCTTTGATATTATAGTTCCCTTTATAAGTGTTGTTCCTTTCACTACTTCACGAATACGTTCCTTGTCCTTCAGAATAGTGGATATAGTCGAGTGTGAGAAACCCAGGTCACGTGAGATTGTTGCTACTGTTTTTCCATTCTCATGCTGTATTATTATCTTCATTTTCATCTCAAAAGTAATTGCCTGTCTCCTTTTCCTTGGAACACCACCAGCACTCTCACTTTTATGCTTTCCAGTGATTATAAAGTCAATTAAATACGATAATAACGAAAGTTCACAGCGCGATCAGTATAGGATACGATAGCCAAACACAAACAAAGCGCTCCACTGAGTGAGTGTACCCACGAGGCGACCTGAGACGCGCCACCCTCTCGCCCGGGACGGAAACGTTTCGGTATAGAAAATGCGCGCGTCATTTGAAAATATTTTTGGTCACGACGGTCGCAGTCATATGTCCCGACGGATGTACGGTCACAGCAAGTCGTAAGTACCAATGGACGTAAGTCCATGTAGTCGTAAGTCGGGGTCTAGCAGTAATCTGTTCTATGTTTACATTCGTCTCCGGTGGAGTACATATCAAGAAAGTTGTGCTCTTTAATATTTTGGCATTTTTTATATTAAAAATATTAGTCATTTTAACATTTATTTAACATATTGATAATATATGCAGTACAGGAAACTAGTTTTTTGTATGCCCATGAGCAGCTTGGCTCAGCCACAAGGAGTCAGTTGGGCTTTGAAAACAGTGGAGTGAATATCAATTTTGTTGGTGTCTTGAATATTTTTGCATTTTTCATTGAAATTATTGGTCATTCTGAAATTTATTTAACATATTGATAATATACAGTGCAGAGCAGTGTTGATTTAAATAAAATAATCTTGAATTACACCTAGTGAACTTAAAATTTTATTGGTGAAATGACTGCATCAAGCATGGGTCCCCTGAAAGGTGATTTCTCCTCTATCCCCACTTCCTTCTCTTCTCCCTTCTCCTCCACCCCCACTTCTAATTCCCATTCTCATCATCAACCAGGAACCTTAATGCATTTTTTTTACTTTGTATGTACTTTTCGGTGAGCTGGAACCAATTACCCAATATCCCATTGAAACAATGGATTCGGTTATCAAAATTTTTGGTTGACGAACGACCTTCTGGAACGAACTGTGTTCGTAAGCCGAGGGACCACTGTACTTTGCTGTCACTCGGAATCGAGTATGACGATCATCCAGCTATGATACAATGATATGAGTTAATAAGTTTGTCACCTAAATTGGTGAGTTTTGAGGTGACTAAAGAGGCCGATACGGGACCAGCAGAGTCGTCCACATTCGTTGCACATGTGGAGAGCTGCTCTAGTGCGGGAGGGGCGGTGGCAGCATTTTTCCGGCATTGGCACTTGTCTGCCTCGGTTTGCAGTCGGGCTAACTCGAAAGTATTGACACCTTCAAGAGTGGTGCTCCTCCAAGCGTTACGATGTGGAGTAATCGACTACCAGGTGAGGTTGGCCGCTTTGGCACTTTTCAGGTTTGTTTTAAGACTATCCTTATTATACCTTTTCAATTGCCCGCCGGCGTCATGTCTACCATTCGTTAGGTGACTGTGAAGTAGCTGCTTTGGCAGTCTACTGTCATCCATGCGGGAAACATGGCCAGTCCAGCATAGTTGTTGATGGATAATGGTAGCCTCGATGCTCCTACAGTTGGTGTCAGCGAGAATACTGGCATTTGTTCTCTTGTCTTCCCAGCAGACTTGGAGGATGGAACGTAGACCACGTCGGTGAAAGTTTTCAAGTGCCTTAAGGTGCCTCCTGTATGTGACCCACGTCTCACTGCCATATAGCAGGGTGGGGAGGACCACTGCTCGATATACGTGCAGCTCTGTAGATAATTTCAGCTCCCTACAGTTGAAGACACGGGTACGGAGTCTGCCAAAGGCTTGAGATTCACAACTGATCCGATGTTGACTCTCTTTGTCGATGTCTGCGGTGGTAGACAGGTGGGAGCTGAGATACTGAAAGTGGGTAACATTAGAGAGGGTAGTACCGTTAAGCTGGATGGATGGTGGAGGTGTGTCTGAACCAGGGGCAGGTTGAAAGAGAATCTGAGTTTTAAGTACATTCACCTCAAGGTCGAAGAGTGCATAGGTGTTCAGGATCTCCTGTAGGTTGAGTTCAGTGTGAGCGACAAGGGTGAGGTTGTCTGCATACGGAAGTTCAGTAATGGAAGCTGCCGACACCTTTGTTCCTGCCTGGAGTCGTCTTATGTTCAAAAGATCCTTCATCCAGTACTCTATGTCCACCCTACCGGCTAAGTTGGTGCTGGCACGAGTAAGGTAGGCAGCCAAGAAAA